TTGGAAAATGATTTTACGATGCGCACGCACACCGACACCTAAAAACGACACCATGAAGTTGTTACGATGCGCGCGCACACCGACACCTAAAACGACACCATGAAGTTGTTAACATGCGCGCGCACACTGACACCTAAAAGCGACAACTTTAGTGGGTAATTGTCTCTCAATATTTTTCGTTTTGTTACTCTAAAGAAGTATAACTTCCTACGTGCGTACATAAGTACACATATACTTTTTTTGAAAATAACGACGTTTCAAAACAACGTTGTCCCCTTGCGCTCCCACCGTATTATTGTCTCCGTTTCGCCTTGATTCATCAAACAAAAAGGACGATGTGTATATATAGTCCCGGTACCAGCGGCTGAACAGCTAGGTTGGGTGAAATACGTATTTTCTTTTAGACGTGTAGATGACGATATAAGCATACCATAAATCATATAAATGTCAGATGTAAAATATTGATTAGCGTAACAGGAGAGGTCTAAGTCTTTTTTTATTTTTTCTGTTCAGTGGTTATAATAACCTTTTAGTGACGTAGGACCATTTAACTTTTTCTGCTCTGGGCCACCATTTTTAAGGCAATTCTATTAGCTTCGCGTGTATCTATCTGTCTATGTAACGGAATCTTTTAATGTAATTTTCACCAACTTGTAAACGGCTGATTGACTTGAAAATTTGCACTCGTATCAAGGACCGATGACAATACAATAATTTAAAAACTTTATCCTAGTATCCTCATCAGGATCACCAGGATAATTTTCTTAAATTTTATATTATTTAGATATAATATAATGATAAGGGTGATTTTCAAGTTTGTTCTAGAAACACATTTAATAATGAATATGAAAAGGGTTGTCATGGCGCACCTTTTATTTTAATGTAGGTAGCAACTAAGTAATATTGTAAACCGTTTCTACAGTATCTGCATACCGACTGTCGTCTCCAGAAATATTGTGCACTTTTTATATGTGAGATAATTGTATAATGCCCTCGTGGACCACCGGTTAATAGCCACTGATCTAAGACGTCGTCGATTGCAAATCTGGCTGTTAAGACGGCATATTATTGTCCTTTCTTAGGGAGAGTTCACTGGTAGACTGTTTACTTCTTAAACAGTCTACCAGTCTTTACTGTTTAAATACTTCTTATTTACTTTATTTATTAAAAATTAATGTTCTTTTACTGATTTTTAAAAAATATACATTTAATTTTTTATAGCTTTTAATGTTTTAAGGAAAGGCTTTCATATTTATTACAGACTGAGAAAGGTTGAACAAAGGACGTGTTTGTTTCTTATTGCTAGGCAACGGCTTTGTATTATCTTGAATCGAAACATAAAATTATCGAAGTGTTATCTACAACAGATATTATTATGTGTAATAATATGTTTTAGGTGATTTTTTTCACAAAAATATAAGGTTTATTAATTTTTCGATGCAAGGGATTTGCATTGAATACCTTACTCTATAAGTACGCCCAAATTTTAAAATAAGTACATAACTAGTGCATTTTTTTTTTAAATTAATAAAGTTTATTAATGGCAGTTCGGTCAAACTTAAAGCAGAAAGCTGTCGCAGTCACAATTTAATTATAAAAGCTATATGTTACAAATTACATTGCGCGGTTTTTGAAATCGTTCACGATTTACGGAAACAACATGGACTGCCATCCGAAATCTCACGGTCCCGTTAAAAATTTGTCCCGAACTAGTCCAGACTCAAGCCGTCGCTCAACGAAAACATTTGTATTTTCCTTACTCATTTGATCCGGAGCCATCCGATCCGATCCCGATATTTACTTTAATGCAACCGGATCATGCTCGTATTTTTTCGGACATCAGGTTCTTTATTTTTCGGCACATGGGGATGGTACCTTTTAGTAACGTATGTATTTAAATAAAATTGACCACAAGCCACAGGGGAACACTTCCGTTCCGGATACCAGTGTTTTGCCCACAGACTACATTTTATATTTATTGAAAGATATGACAGAGCAAAGTCGCAGCTGGTAGGACGCACGCGCATGTTTTAAAAAATACTGGATACCGAACGTTTAATTACTATTATAGAAAATTGCAAATGCAATTAGACCAAAAAAAGATTTATCGTGGAGCAATGTATGAAAAGTCAAAATCTCTACTCCATGTTTCCATTTAAAAAAGTAACGCGACATCTAACCAAGCGGCCGACTTAACAAATTTCACTCCGGATTCAAGCGAACCGCGTGTAGTCGGTAGCATACTGAACTCGGTTTTTTTATCGGACCGGTTAGATCCGGTTGCTTGTAGTCCGGAGCCTTAAACACGATAGTGGTTTTCCGCAATTGCGCTATCCCCCCCTGCCGGCAATCACATAAAAGCGAGGCGAAAGCATTCCTGAAGTTAAAATCCACTCCAACCAATACTAAGCCTTCTTTAATTTTTAATCATCAATCAAAACAAGCGCTGCAAGAGAATCGATCATTACAATATTGATTTTGAGATAGTGATAGCGAATACACATTTTGTCTGCGATGTTTTACGAGGCAAGAAAAACGTTCGCAAGTTAGCAACCTTTTTTATAGTTTATTATAGTGTTCCTGCTGGTTGCATCATTAACTCATTACTAAATCTAAAATTATTCTGTAAATTACCATCATCCATTTAAGCTTAAGTATATTTTTATTTATTTTCTTTTCTCTGTCTTTGTGTTCGGATTGGAGTAAATTTAGCTTTCATTTTGTTTGTTAGTATTGTCCTATATTAGTTTTAATTGAACAAATACAGGTAGGTGTTATTTACATATTTTCACAAGTATTCAAGATAGGTTACCTATGTAACGTTTACTTAAAAAGATTTTTCACTTTGTGATTTGTGAGTGAATGATTTTAGTTCCAATAGGTGAGAACTAAACGTGGTCACGAGGGCATGCCGGTACGTAGGTACCTATTTATAAACATTCAAATACAGCGATCAATATTTTTATTCACTGTGAAACCTGACTGAAACACCTGACAAAAACCGTTGTCACTAGAAACACCAATATTTCTCAGGTTCACAGCACTTTTCTTTCAAGTAAATAATATCGGTAATAAAAATATTAAAAACCAGTATTTGTAAATAACCAGTAATTAAAAATTCATATTAGGTATTATTATAATTAAAATTTCATATTATACTATAATAAACTTAACCGCTTGAATTAATTTGATGCATCTGTCTTACTAGGGATTTAAAAAAAAGACATTAAAGATAATGTATAATCTTAGGTAATGTCTTTTTTTTAAATAAGCGGTGTTAAAGTAACGCATAATATAGGTACATACCTATGATAGAACAAGAACGTACACCCTTGTAAGTTACGGCAGTACATAGCGCTTGGTTGCGGTCGACACAGGCGTATAAGTGCTATTATTATTATTATAAAAAGTACTGTATGTGCTAAATAAATTTTGAAACGTCGTTTCGCAGCAAGTTTAACTTTGAAATAAGTAATGGTAAATGCCGTGACATGAAATGGAATAAGATTATCTTATTTATTAAATATATTTTTACCTTTATTTTACGATGATAATCGTAAAATAAAGGTTTTAAATAAAAAAAAAACATATTAATACAAAAAGTACATAATTTATAATGCTGATAACCCTACATATTGATGATTACTACAATTGTTTTTCCTGAAACCATTTATACTATAGTTTTGCGCTTCAGTTTTTTTGTCTCATTAAATGTGTCGTAGAAAGAATTAAACCTTGGACGTAGAATACTGGATTTTACATCTATGAACACTTGTGTCAGTGTCAATCATTTGTGATTTGTGAATAAAACGTAAAAGTGAAGTGAGCGCGATGGGTGATGGCCGAATCGTTAACGCTGCCACCTTTGCCACCGCCGCGACGATTTTCAATTTTTCTTCATCCTTATCTTATAAAAAGGTGTGATTATTGTTATAAAAAGTAACATCTATTACTATATACTTTATTAGAGAAGTATTTTTTCAATTTTAGAATGATAAATGACCTAACTATCCAACTGTTCGGACAAAGCTATTGTAGGTTTAGCCCATGGCCACCTTAATTCAAATTTATATTTAAGGTGGCTAAACTTAAAAAAAGTAAAGGCCGACTTCAATAATTACAAAGAATGAAATAATTTTAAGAGTCAAGAGTCGCGTCTTTAGGTAATTGTTGTTTAATGTATGTGTATATTGTCTTAACACCATCTACACGAGCTATGTTATATTATTTTCTTCTTGAAGTCGGTTTTTACATTTTTTTTAAGCTTAATAACTTTACCTTTATGCGTAGACTATGCAATATTAGGTACAAACTCAAGGTCTAGAACGTCATTAAAAGTGACATTAAAAAGTCATCTATTATTTTATCGTTCATTTGTTATGGCAATTCACATCTATACTGTAAAATATGGTAAATTGATAAAAAAGCTACGAAAGATCTCTATAATGCCACCAATATTCTACAAAAATATATTAAATAATTAGTTACAAAAGTGACTATACTCTGGATAACCCAACAAGCATCGTGGGGTAATTTTTGATATGAAAATAAGACCTTATTCTTATTCATTACCCTTGGAGAGCCTGGACAAATGATTTTTTTATAAAAGAGGAGGCTTACGAACATACGGATCACCTGATTATGAATAATCATCACTGCTTATTGATCTGTGCGATTTGGGTTCACTTTTTATTGAACCTAGTTCTAACGCATGTGAGGTTGTTATTGAAAAAAAGTTGTTTAACTCTCTTCAAACCCCCAAAACCTCAAAATTATTTTAGAGATGTTAAAAACTAATTAGCTGAGATACGTGTAAAAAAATAAAAATGATGCGTCTTAAATAGTTTAAAGAACACCTCACGTACCTCGATTTTAACGACTTTATTGTGTTGCGCGCAATTGAGGGAGGGCGGATGATCTTTGTTATAGTGGATGCGCGCAATATGACACCTGATTCTATTAATTAATAAAGTTATTTAATTTTACAAATTTGTTCATAGGCGTCACCGTTGCCCACACAACGATGTCCCGGAGCCATTGTTCGATGTGGAGCACACGACGAGCGTGGTTTCCGCATACAAACAAGATTACGACGAAAAACACGTAAGCCGTACAACCGCTGTTCATCACGAAGACCATCTTCGGCTTGAAGGAGATTTTCAAGAACCTGAACGTCCCCACTGGCAACCTGCTGAGCGACAAAAACCTACTAAGCCTGAAGATAACCTCAGGCCTGAAGGAGAATTTGAGAGAAGGCATCCTGAAGAATGGCGACCGGGTGACAGAGCACCTGTTAAGCGCCCGGAAGATAACTTAAAACCAGAAGGAGAATTTGCAACTCCTGAGAAGGAACTTTGGAGGCCTGCAGAAAGGCAAAAACCGAGAAAACCTGAGGACAATCTTAAACCTGAAGGAGAATTTCAGAAACGCCAACCTGATGAATGGCAGCCCGGTGAAAGAGCTCCTGTACGTCGTCCGGAAGATAACTTAAAACCAGAAGGTGACTTTGAAAAAAGAAGACCTGATGAATGGAAACCTGGTGAAAGGGCGCCTGTACGTCGCCCTCAAGATAATTTGCGACCAGAAGGTGAATTCGAGAAAAGGCGACCAGAAGAGTGGCGCCCAGGAGATAGAGCCCCAATTCGTCGTCCAGATGATAACCTCAAACCTGAAGGTGAATTTATGACTCCCGAAAAAGAGTATTGGCGCCCTGCTGATCGTCAAAAACCAAGAAAGCCAGTGGATAACTTGCGCCCTGAAGGTGATTTTGAAAAAAGACATCCAGATGAATGGCGCCCTGGAGATCGTGCGCCAGTTCGTCGACCTGAAGATAATCTCTATCCTGAAGGTGAGTTCGAAAAACGAAAACCAGATGAATGGCGTCCTGGAGACAGAGCACCAGTACGTCGTCCGGATGATAATTTAAAGCCTGAGGGTGAATTCACGACTCCAGAAAAGGAACCCTGGAGACCAGCTGAAAGACAAAAGCCGAAAAAACCAGAAGATAATTTAAGACCAGAAGGAGATTTTGAAAAAAGACAACCCGAAGAATGGCAACCCGGTGATAGAGCACCAGTAACACGCCCTCATGATAATCTAAAGCCCGAAGGAGAATTTGTTACACCAGAAAAAGAACCTTGGAGGCCAGCGGAACGGCAAAAGCCAAAGAAACCGGAGGATAATCTTAAACCAGAAGGAGACTTTTTCAAGCGACAGCCCATAGAATTTATACCAGCTGAAAAATCAGTAGGTAAAAAACCGGAAGATAATTTGCGCCCAGAAGGAGAATTTACTACTACAAGAATAGATGATTATAAAGTAGTAACCGGTGAAAGGGCGGAAATTGTAAAACACACCGATAATATTGTCATGGAAGGGGAATTTACGGGTAAGTTAGAAAATTAAATAAGATTAGATATTTGTAATTAATTTCGACTTAACTAATAGTACATTGTGTGATTAATAATATTCTGGTCGATTAAGATACCGTTACTGTTACGACCTATTAAAAGTCCATTGCTGAACATAGGCTAACTTCTTCATAGATTGAATCACCAGTCAACATTTGCCATAGTCACTAACCTTGGCAGTCGGGTTGGCAACGGCAGTTTTTTTAGGTGTTATTAGGAAGACGATGATGCCCATCTCCTAGTTTGTTTCTTTTTATTACATTTTACAACACGAGTTATGGGGCAATGGATATTCTTACACATTACGTGTAGTAGCATACGGTCAATAAGATAATGTAACGTATATTCATACTATGGTCACTTGTCGTAGTCCGTTTGATAATATAAGTTTAGTAAATACGAAGCAGATATACTCCTAATTCGTGAAGACACTCCACATAAGGCATATTATTTTATATTATATACCAAACACTTGTAAACCTTCTTTGAAAGAATAATGATGCAACCCATGTATTTTTACAGACACTACAACGTCGCGAACTGAATACACTATAAAACCTGTTGAAAGACAAAAACCGGTAAGAAGAAATACTTGGACCAAAATAGAAGGAGACATGATCACTGATACTACCACAAAGACTGAATTTATTGACTACACGGATACAGTCGAAAGATCTACACTGGTTACCCGCAGAACTGATAATTTAATACGAGAAGGTGAAATGGAATTTGTAACTTCAAACCAAAATGATTATACAGAAAAGAATACTGTACTAGAACGACCACATCGCCGACGTACATGGACAAAAGAAGATTTTGATAAATTTTACTCCACAGACAACTTGCAAACAGTTACAACAACACAAGAAGAATACAAAACTTATGAGACAATTGACGTTAGACAAAAGAAAGTGAAACCAGTTGATAATTTAAAACCTGAAGGTGACTTTGAAACACCTAAACATGATGAATGGCGTCCAGCAGAAAGACAAATAGCTAAAAAGCCACAAGATAACTTAAAACCCGAAGGTGAATTCACAACTCCTGACAAAGACCAGTGGAGGCCAGCTGAGCGCCCAACTCAAAAGAAACCTCAAGATAATTTAAAACCGGAAGGAGAATTTGAGCAACCTAAGCATGATGAATGGCGTCCAGCGGAAAGACAAACAGCTAAAAAGCCTCAAGATAACTTAAGACCTGAAGGAGATTTTACAACTCCCGAAAAAGATCAATGGAGGCCAGCTGAGCGTCCTATTCAGAAGAAACCAAAAGATAATCTGAGACCAGAAGGTGATTTCGAACAACCTAAACATGATGAATGGCGTCCAGCGGAAAGACAAACACCTAAAAAGCCGCAAGATAACTTAAGACCAGAAGGTGATTTCGAACAACCTAAACATGATGAATGGCGTCCTGCGGAAAGACAAACAGCTAAAAAGCCACAGGATAACTTAAAACCAGAAGGTGAATTCACGACCCCTGATAAAGAACAATGGAGGCCAGCTGAGCGTCCCATTCAGAAGAAACCAAAAGACAATCTAAGGCCAGAAGGTGAATTTGAACAACCTAAACATGATGAGTGGCAACCAGCTGACAGACAAATACCTAAAAAGCCACAGGATAACCTTAAGCCTGAAGGCGAATTCACGACTCCCGAGAAAGACCAGTGGAGGCCAGCAGAGCGCCGCACTCAAAGCAAACCTAAAGATAATTTGAGACCAGAAGGTGATTTCGAACAACCTAAGCAAGATGAATGGCGACCAGCAGAAAGACAGACACCTAAAAAGCCACAAGACAACTTAAAACCAGAAGGTGAATTCACAACTCCTGACAAAGACCAATGGAGGCCAGCTGAGCGCCCAATTCAAAAGAAACCTCAGGATAATTTGAAACCGGAAGGAGAATTTGAACAACCTAAACATGATGAATGGCGTCCAGCGGAAAGACAAACAGCTAAGAAGCCTCAAGATAACTTAAGACCCGAAGGTGATTTCGCGACTCCTGAGAAAGACCAATGGCGACCAGCAGAACGACGCAATCAAAGGAAACCAAAAGATAATCTGAGACCAGAAGGTGATTTCGAACAACCCAAGCAAGATGAATGGCGACCAGCAGAAAGACAGACACCTAAAAAGCCACAAGACAACTTAAAACCAGAAGGTGAATTCACAACTCCTGATAAAGATCAGTGGAGGCCAGCTGAGCGCCCAACTCAAAAGAAACCTCAAGATAATTTGAAACCAGAAGGAGAATTTGAGCAACCTAAGCCTGATGAATGGCGTCCAGCAGAAAGACAAACAGCTAAAAAGCCTCAAGATAACTTAAGACCTGAAGGAGATTTTACAACTCCCGAAAAAGATCAATGGAGGCCAGCTGAGCGACCTATTCAGAAGAAACCAAAAGATAATCTGAGACCAGAAGGTGATTTTGAACAACCTAAACATGATGAATGGCGCCCAGCAGAAAGACAAACAGCTAAAAAGCCACAGGATAACTTAAAACCAGAAGGTGAATTCACAACTCCTGATAAAGAACAATGGAGGCCAGCTGAACGTCCCATTCAGAAGAAGCCACAAGATAATCTAAAGCCAGAGGGTGAATTTGAACAACCTAAACATGATGAGTGGCAACCAGCCGAAAGGCAGATACCTAAAAAGCCGCAGGATAACCTTAAGCCTGAAGGCGAATTCACGACTCCCGAGAAAGACCAGTGGAGGCCAGCAGAGCGCCGCACTCAAAGCAAACCTAAAGATAATCTGAGACCAGAAGGTGATTTCGAACAACCTAAGCAAGATGAATGGCGACCAGCAGAAAGACAGACACCTAAAAAGCCACAAGACAACTTAAAACCAGAAGGTGAATTCACAACTCCTGATAAAGACCAGTGGAGGCCAGCTGAGCGCCCAACTCAAAAGAAACCCCAAGATAATTTGAAACCGGAAGGAGAATTTGAACAACCTAAACATGATGAATGGCGTCCAGCGGAAAGACAAACACCTAAAAAGCCGCAAGATAACTTAAGACCCGAAGGTGATTTCGCGACTCCTGAGAAAGAACAATGGCGACCAGCAGAACGCCGCACTCAAAGCAAACCTAAAGACAATCTGAGACCAGAAGGTGATTTCGAACAACCTAAGCAAGATGAATGGCGACCAGCAGAAAGACAGACCCCTAGAAAACCACAAGATAATCTAAGACCTGAAGGAGATTTTGAAAAACCTATACAAGAAGAATGGCAACCGGCTGAACGTCCTGTTCAGAGAAAACCTAAAGATAATCTTAAACCCGAAGGTGAATTTGAACATCCTAAGCATGATGAATGGCGTCCTGCTGAAAGACAAACAGCTAAAAAGCCTCAAGATAACTTAAGACCTGAAGGAGATTTTACAACGCCCGAAAAAGATCAATGGAGGCCAGCTGAGCGTCCTATTCAGAAGAAACCAAAAGATAATCTGAGACCAGAAGGTGATTTTGAACAACCTAAACATGATGAATGGCGTCCAGCAGAAAAGCAAACAGCTAAAAAGCCACAGGATAACTTAAAACCAGAAGGTGAATTCACGACTCCTGATAAAGAACGATGGAGGCCAGCTGAACGTCCCATTCAGAAGAAGCCAAAAGACAATCTAAGGCCAGAGGGTGAATTTGAACAACCTAAACATGATGAGTGGCAACCAGCCGAAAGGCAGATACCTAAAAAGCCTCAGGATAACCTTAAGCCTGAAGGCGAATTCACGACTCCCGAGAAAGACCAGTGGAGGCCAGCAGAGCGCCGCACTCAAAGCAAACCTAAAGATAATCTGAGACCAGAAGGTGATTTCGAACAACCTAAGCAAGATGAATGGCGACCAGCAGAAAGACAGACACCTAAAAAGCCACAAGACAACTTAAAACCAGAAGGTGAATTCACAACTCCTGATAAAGACCAGTGGAGGCCAGCTGAGCGCCCAACTCAAAAGAAACCCCAAGATAATTTGAAACCGGAAGGAGAATTTGAACAACCTAAGCCTGATGAATGGCGTCCAGCGGAAAGACAAACACCTAAAAAGCCGCAAGATAACTTAAGACCCGAAGGTGATTTCGCGACTCCTGAGAAAGAACAATGGCGACCAGCAGAACGCCGCACTCAAAGCAAACCTAAAGACAATCTGAGACCAGAAGGTGATTTCGAACAACCTAAGCAAGATGAATGGCGTCCAGCGGAAAGACAAACAGCTAAAAAGCCTCAAGATAACTTAAGACCTGAAGGAGATTTTACAACTCCTGAAAAAGATCAATGGCGGCCAGCTGAGCGTCCTATTCAGAAGAAACCAAAAGATAATCTGAGACCAGAAGGTGGTTTCGAACAACCTAAACATGATGAATGGCGTCCAGCGGAAAGACAAACACCCAAAAAGCCGCAAGATAACTTAAAACCAGAAGGTGAATTCACAACTCCTGATAAAGACCAGTGGAGGCCAGCCGAGCGACCAACTCAAAAGAAACCCCAAGATAATTTGAAACCGGAAGGAGAATTTGAACAACCTAAGCAAGATGAATGGCGTCCAGCAGAAAGACAAACGCCTAAAAAACCGCAAGATAACTTAAGACCCGAAGGTGATTTCACGACTCCTGAGAAAGACCAATGGCGACCAGCAGAACGCCGCACTCAAAGGAAACCTGAAGATAATCTTAGACCAGAAGGTGATTTCGAACAACCTAAGAAAGATGAATGGCGACCAGCAGAAAGACAGACACCTAGAAAGCCACAAGATAATCTACGACCTGAAGGAGATTTTGAAAAACCTACACAAGAAAACTGGCAACCGGCTGAACGTCCTGTTCAGAGAAAACCTAAAGATAATCTTAAACCTGAAGGTGAATTTGAGCAACATAGACCAGAAAAATGGCGCCCAGCAGAAAGGCAAACGCCTACAAAGCCAAAAGATAATTTAAAACCAGAAGGTGAATTCGAGACGCCTACACAAGCAGAGTGGCGCCCTGCTGAACGTCCAAAACAGACAAAACCTCAAGATAACTTAAAACCAGAAGGAGTATTTGAACAACCAAAACATGATGAGTGGAAGCCAGCTGAGAGGCAAACTCCAAAGAAACCGAAAGATAATCTTAAACCAGAAGGTGATATGGAAGTAGTTCGCCGAACAGATTACTCAGTGACACGAGGTGATCGCGTAGAAGTGATCAAACATGGAGATAATTTAAAAATGGAAGGAGTAATTGATATGCATCGCTCTAGGGACGATTATAAGCGTATCGAAAAAACTGAAAAAGTTGTTATTCAGAAGCACGAAGATAATTTGAAGACCGAAGGTGAATTTATTGATCTTCATACTCGTGATGATTACCGTGCTACTAAAGGTGACAGAGCACCTGTAGTAAAACCACAAGATAATTTAAAACCAGACGGTAAGTTTTATAAGCCTGAAACGGTTCCAACTCAACCAGCAGAGAAACGAAAACCTTTTAAGCATGTTGATAACATAACAATTGATAGAGATCTCGATATTCGTCATAACCAAAATATTGAGCGCGTCGATATCATTAGACGTGAAGATAACCTAAAAATTGAAGGAGAATTTATAGACATGAAACAAAGGAATGATTACAAAGTGGTCACAGGAGAAAAAACGGCACTTGTCAAACATGAAGATAATTTAAAGATGGAAGGCAAAATGGAAAATATAAGATCTTCAGATACGTACCGTGTTGTAAAAGGGCAAAGAGTAAAGCTTATACGTAGAGAAGATAATCTTAAAATTGAAGGTGTTTTTGAAGATCACGTGCGTCGAGATGAACACAAGATTAGTAAAACTGATAGAAGAGCTATTGCTTATTATTCTGACGATAAAAGTAAACCGAAATATACAAATGACGAAACTGTTGAACCTCGGGAGAGTGACACATATCAACCAATAAAACAAACTGAACAGTATAGACCACATGATACAGGTTCATATCCTCAAAAGTCTGTAGATGGTCCAGATTCAACACGTCATCAGAATAACGTAATAAAACCTTTAAATGGCAGCGCTGAAGAAATACCAAGGACCGTACCCACAGGTAAAGATAAATCCTATCCCGAAAATCGTCCAACACATCAATGGCAATCTCCATCACAGATTCATTCTAAGGATAATCTCTATCCAGAGGGTCAATTCCAAGAGCGTCCAAAAACTCAGTGGCAGCCCAGTGAAGTTCCAGAGCAGATACGTCCAAAAGACAATCTATATCCCGAAGGGGAGTTTCAAAATAGACCTAAAACATCGTGGCAACCTGGTGAAACACCGAGACAAATGCGGCCCAAAGATAATCTTCATCCAGAAGGCCAATTTGAAGATAGACCCAAAACTCAATGGCAACCTGGTGAAATACCTGAACAAATTCGACCTAAAGACAACCTTCACCCAGAAGGTAAATTTCAAGAACGACCCAAAACTCAATGGCAACCTGGTGAAATACCTGAACAGATTCGACCTAAAGACAACCTTCACCCAGAAGGTAAATTTCAAGATCGACCTAAAACTCAATGGCAGCCTGGAGAAACTCCAGCACAAGTACGTCCTAAGGATAATTTAAAACCAGAAGGTGATTTTGATCGCCCATCTAGACCAAAATGGGAAACAGCTGATCGTTCTACTCCTTTTCTGCCAAAAGACAATTTAAATACAAGACCAGATAGCGATTTAACTCCTACAATATCAAGCGAACCTAATATTTATCGACCTAGGGATGAATTGCGTCCTGAAATACGTCATCCAACACATTCTCAAAAAGACGAAACATATAATGACATTAGAAACCAGTCATGGCAATGTAAAGAATCAACATCTGTTACTAGGAACGGTACTGAAAGACATAAAGAAAATATACAAAACACGCAGATTGGAAAGGAAATACAACAATCTAATACTAATGTTCAATCCACTTCTCATACTGAGTTTTCCACTTCTAAAGACAATCAGTCAACTCACAAAACATTCAGAACACAAGATGTCATCGATCGTGTAGAATCTCAAAATAATTTAGATCGTACATATACACAAGTATCAAGAAATAGTGTTGAAAAGAGCGAAGTGAATAAAATTAATTCAAAGCATATAAAAAATGTAACGACTTCTTCAACTAAGACGATGAAACAAGTAAAGGAAAAAAAATTAATAGCAGGTAAATGGGTGGTTGTTACACGAAACGTGGAAATGAATGTTACAAAAGGAGCTGACACTGAAAACAATGATGTCAAAAGAAATGTTGATGACCGTACTGCGTCACAAATTAAATCTGTGACAAGTGAAACAAGTCAGAGAAGGATTGCTTCAGACACGTCTAGTAATGTGTTGTTACATTCTCATCAGCGTTCGAATTATAATAATGAAGATGATCAATTTGCAGATAGGTCCAAAACTCAATGGCAACCAGGTGAAATACCTGAACAAATTCGACCTAAAGACAATCTTCACCCAGAAGGTAAATTTCAAGATCGACCTAAAACTCAATGGCAGCCTGGAGAAACTCCAGCACAAGTACGTCCTAAGGACAATTTAAAACCAGAAGGTGATTTTGATCGCCCATCTAGACCAAAATGGGAAACAACTGATCGTTCTACTCCCATTCGGCCAAAAGACAATTTAAATATAAGAACAGATAGCGATTCAACTCCTACAATATCAAGCGATCCTAATATTTATCGACCTAGGGATGAATTGCATCCTGAAATACGTCATCCAACACATTCTCAAAAAGACGAAACATATAATGACATTAGAAACCAGTCAAGGCAAAGTAAAGAATTAACATCTGTTACTAGAAGCGGTAATGAAACACATAAAGAAAATATACAAAACACGCATATTGGAAAGGAAACAAAACAATCTAACACTAATGTTCAATCCACTTCTCATACTGAGTTTTCCACTTCTAAAGACAATCAGTCAACTCACAAAACATTCAGAACACAAGATGTCATCGATCGTGTAGAATCTCAAAATAATTTAGATCGTACATCTACACAAGTATCAAGAAATAATGTTGAAAAGAGCGAAGTGAATAAAATTAATTCAAAGCATATAAAAAATGTAACGGCTTCTTCAACTAAGACGATGAAACAAGTAAAGGAAAAAAAGTTAATAGCAGGTAAATGGGTGGTTGTTACACGAAACGTGGAAACGAACGTCACAATAGGAGATAACACTGAAAACAATGATGTCAAAAGAAATGTTGATGACCGTACTGCGTCACAAATTAAATCTATGACAAGTGAAACAAGTCAGAGAGGTAACGCTTCAGACACGTCTAGTTATGTGTTACATTCTCAACAGCGCTCGAATTATAATAATAAAGATGATCAAAGTCTACATCTGATTTCCAACAAGACACACATGATGAAGAAAGGGCAGGAAGAGCAATTAATTAATCAAAATACTCGACATTCATCTTCTGATAGCCACATAGTGCGTCAGCAACGAGGCGATAGCGCCCAAAGAATTATATCGTCGGAACACGAATCCTATCAAAGTCTTGCTTCATCTAACAATCGCAGTCAAGAAAATATTCATACAAAACATAAAATACATGGTAGCACAATGAATCAAAATTTATCCCGGTCCAACCAGCATTTGTCGACAAGCAGCAAAGTTTACAAGCATTCTGAAGGAGAACATGTTCAGAAAACTTCGTCATCCGATCAGTCGCTGACATCACAGTTTTCTACAAATCAACATCATTTGAATTCGCAACAACGTATTATTTCAGATAATACCGGAGTCAATATGGACAGAACAGGTCATACAAATTCAATTCATCAATCCAGTCAATTGAGTAGAAATCAGCTAAGTGACAGTGTTACAAAAACAAGCAGAGAATTCCAACAAGCAATGCACGGTGGCAGTGATGTCATCACATCTACAACAGACAATGTAGCACGAAGTGGGTACCATAAGCGTACATCCGACTTAACGTCTGATTCACAGTCTGCCAACGCTGTTCTTCATCGCAAAGGTATTACGTCAACTAATGAAGCGCATCACTCTATTAGTTCCACTGCAGCTTCACAACGCAAAAGCATTGGAAACCTTAACGAGCGTGGGGAATACATAAGTAATTCAACACACAGCACTGACAGAAAGAGTATCAGTTCAATGCATCGTTCTGCTCGCGACAATACAGTTGTTATTTCACAACACACTGACAACGCAGACTTCCGACGCACCCAAAGACGAGATGGTCAATCGACAATGGTAGTGGAGCGGGAACCACGCGTAAACGTTAGAGATAATCTTCGAGTTGGTGGGGAATTTTTCGGACAGTCAGAAGCACGCTCATATGGAAGTTTTTCTCGTTCTGAACAATCCCAGAAAGCTGAAAGTACAGAGCACGTAGAACGTGTCCAGAGGGTAACAAGACATGGAAATTCGTCGCAGTTTATATTAGGTGACGCAGGCAACACTAGCTACAAACGTGAGTTTACCACTCACGTGCACGGTACTTGTCCGGCTACAACACTTCAATCTCCAAGTACGCAATTTAAACACACTCGTGACTCCCGCGAGCATAAGTTTTATTCGTCTAAAATAACTCATTAACTTTACTATACCTATATATTGGATAATAACCTTACTTTTGCATTCCTTGTTTATATGAGTAAGCTTTCCCATTGAAAGTATATTTTTGAAATAGGTTAATTTTTTTTATTTATCTAACGCAATCTAACATTGCTGGTTGATTAATTTTTTTTAAAGCCGGGAGATATGTTGTAGCTACTCTTTTTAACCTTTGTTAGCAAAACTTGCTAGCGAACTGTAACAGTAATCAGTGCACGGAATTGTTACCAAAAATTACTGTGTCACACTACCGGATCGTTCTGGATTCGCACTTTGCAGTAATCTGACAAATGATTTTTGGCGTTTGTTGTGAACGTCAGAACTAAAATTCTAGGCACGCTTAGAACCTCATGCACATAGAACACCCGTTTCTACTTAAAATTGATTTTTTTTCTTACGCATGTGTATAGATAAATTTGACCAGAGTATGGTCAATTTTCTTTTATCAAAGTCTAGTAAAACTATATATGTGCTCTTACTATCAGAGCGTTATAGTGAGCGACGATGTTTGCTCTGAAGAGACTGAAGATAAATGCCTTCAGCTAATGATCATGTTGTACGATGACTCCACCAACGTCGTGATCGATATTTTTGAGCAAATCATCTAAGTAAATGTACGCTGTAGAAGCAAGAAAAACTTTGTTCGAAATCATACTGCTCCGAGCTAACATCATTTTATGAGGTTTTAAATACATGTTTATAGTGTTAGTTACAACTCGCTCTGTACCCGGTTTAATGTGACTTCGATTAAATTAGCTTAGAACGCATTTAATGTTAAAATTGCTATTATATTTTATTTATATTTATTTATCAACTTTGCCATGTAATAAAATTTTTATATAGAAATTTAATTTTTATTATTTACCTGAAAATCCCAAACAACCGAAATTCAAAGAAATAACATATAATCTAATTTGAAAGAAATTAATTAATACCAATTTTAGATCTGAACTTTTCTTAAGAATGATAACATATTCTCGGATCTAATGGGCTTGCTCGATTGAAAAAATTTTAATATTTCTATAACTATAATTTTTATTACAACCTATAAAAGACCACTACTGAACATTCCCATAGATTGCCTTATCGGAGGGATTTTACCATAGTTGCCACTCTTGGCTTGTCGGTTGCCACCGCAGCTGTTTTATTATCATGAGTTTTTATTTTAGAAAAATGCTGCCATCTTGTTTTTTAATTTTCCTCTGTCGCCTCTATGACACCCGCGGGACGAATTGGGGTAGCGGATATTCTTAAACTGCAACTACACGGTTGAAAACTACATATTTGCTATTAAATGAACTTTAGTAGTTCTTATAGTTCTTAGTCGCTATTGGTGTAAATGACGCTAGTAGGTGACCATGAACGTGTACAAAATGGCGGACTGAATTTTGCTAAGTTAGGACTGATGCACTGCAATGGCGACGGTGTAAGTTTTGTTTGAGTGGCATAAAGGTTTGCCAAGTGAAACAATATTTCCCCATTTTTTTATAAAACAATCTACCAAAATATAGCATAACTTTGACACAGAATGCTAATTATTACTACGTAACTAATATAAAATAACATAGTTGACGATTAAAAAAATCTAAAAATTTTTAAATATATAGATCGATTTTAAACGTGGTAGAGCCATGCTGCAGCTAAATTAGTAGTATAGTTGTAGAACGAATGGTGCGGCTCGACCGGGGAAGGACCACGCTCTCACAGAATACCAGCGTAAAATAGCAGCATAATATTGCTGTGTTTCGTATAATGAGTGTAGAGAACCGGACACCCTTTCTACTGGTAAAGAGGCATTCCATCTTAGTCCTCACGGGTGGAATTATTAATATGCATTTTGATTCTTTATTGAAGATAGATGTAGCTATGTCTATGGGCCACAACATCCACTTACCATCAGGTGGATTGTGTGCTCGTTTGTCACACTTATGCTATAAAAAAAAGATAGGTGCAACATAAAAACGTAAGTATTGATTTAATTTAATTTTCTTAAAAATATTATTTCACACAAATATTGTATTATGTTATTGGAACGAAACAAATTATTAATAGGTAACTAACCAAAATGTATGACGCTCGGCTTTTTATTAGTGCGTACAAGCGAACCGGCTTATTTGGATGCTTCACTGGGTTGTCCAGCGAAAAGTATGTATATTCTGTGTCGTAGTATTATTATTTCTTCTGTGCCTAGGTTTAAAGAGGCGTGTAATCACAATAATGCGAATAATCACTACGTTTTAAGAGGCGAGACTTCTTTAATAAAATAAACGTATGAAAGGGAACTAAGCTCAGAGTAATCACAAGCATATTATAGGGAATCTATACAAATAAATAAAATTGAAGTTTCTGTTTGTAATGTCAAAATAACAGCTTTTTACTAAATGCATATGAAAGTATATACAGTACTTATAATAAAAACACATTTTTTAATATTTTTGTCTGTCTGACTGTCTTTCCGTCTGTCTATCTGTCTGTTAGTTCCGGCTAATCTCCGAAACGACTGGACCGATTTTGAAGGGACTTTCACTGATAGATAGCTAATATTATAAGGAGTAACTTAGGCTACTTATATTTTAGAAAAGGATTTAGGATTCTGCGCAAAAAAATAAAAAACAAATTACACGCGGGCGAAGTCGCGGGGTACAGCTAATCCTAAAATAAGTACACAATTCTTGTAGTTGAAGTCTTTATCTTTACGTTTTACGTGGTAGAAAATAAGAAAGCTATATTATTTTCACCTCTTGCTTTTACAAGGTTGTTGCCGTTTTTCCATTCCATAGACACCTCTACTGATGTGCCATTAGTTAAGCAACAAAAGTTGTCGATAAATGTATTAGTCTATGACTATGACTTAGTGAAATTAAGGATTTTGATTAATCCGGTTCGCAATACTTAAAGAAATCAATGGATGGTAAAAGAAAATTGTTATTATATTTTTCACAATAAATATATAGTCGAATAATGCGGTAATTTCAAATATCTCCTGAAAAGGTCGCTATAAAATGTACTTAACTTCAGCCGGTATATTTCTGCCAAATTATTCTTAGACTTTAAATTGGCTTTTAGAATTATGGGTTGCACAGGGAATAGAAACTGTAAACAAGTACCTATTTGAAATATTTTATTTATTTGTGTTTGTCTAATAGACACCGCGTTTGCTTCACGGAACGTACACAGAGGCACTGATAAATGCAACAAGACCGCGGTCTGCCTCATCTTTTCTGGCTCTATTACAATTAATCGATACCAATGAATCGATTATGGACGTATTACCCGTTTTCTTCTTTGCTCCCTTAAGGTGCTATCCACCATTCGTTCTTTAATTACAGCCTTTCAAAACTCAACTGCTGAACATAGTTCTTTTCTATAGATTGCACCGTAAGGGGAATACCTATCAAAGTTCCCTCTCTAAGCAAGTAGATTGGCAACCGCAATTTTTAGGGTTCCATAGCCAAATGGCAAAAAACGGAACCCTTATGGATTCGTCATGTCTGTCTCTCTGTCTGTCCGTCCGTATGTCAAAGCCACCTTTTTCCGAAACTATAAGAACTATGCTGTTGAAACTTGGTAAGTAGATGTATTCTGTGAACCGCATTAAGATTTTCAAACCAAAAAAGGAAAAAAAAACAATAAATTTTGGGGGTTCCCCATACTTCGAACTGAAACTCAAAAAATTTTTTTAATCAAACCCATACGTGTGGGGTATTGATAGGTCTCCAAAAATTATATTGAGGTTTCTCATATCATTTTTTTCTAAACTGAATAGATTGCGCGAGGGACACTTCTAAATGGTAAAATGTGTGCCCCTGTAACTTCTAAAATAAGAGAATGATAAAACTAAAAAAAATATATGATGTACATTATGTACCATGTAAAGTTCCACCGAAAATTGGTTTAAGTAATTGGTGTAAATAAATCGTAAACTATGTTACTTGCTGTTACGGAACCCTTCATGGGCGAGTCCGACTCGCACTTGGCCGCTTTTTATTACGTTGAGTTGTAATCAGGAAGATGCTGCTGCCTATACCTTGTTTCATTTCCCCCCGTCGCCTTTTACGATACCCACGCGATGGTACGGGGTCTTAGAAGTTCTAGGTAATAATATATTATATTATTTGGTAGGATGTAGTGGATTCAACGGTGGTAGAGCCTTGCAGCAGCTTTTTCTGTTGCACGTATGGGCCGGCTCGAGCCGGGTTAATACCACGACCTCACAGAATACCGGCGTGAAGTGGAAGCTCTGCTTCCGCGTTTCGTCTGGTGAGTGCAGGTGACCGGATGCCCAATTCCCCCCCCCCCCCCCCCCCCCATCAACATGGTAGCGGAATTACGTCAAAAACTACCCCAGGAGGGTACCAGTACCCCTGGAGAATCCCTCGCTGAGCATCCACGACCATGCTATTCCACTCCTGAGCGTGGGTGCTCAGGCTGCCCCGCGTATTCTGGGGGGGGCAAAATTCCGCTCAACACAATAACTGCTCGGGGCAAACTGAGCAACAAGACCAAGGCGACTCCTGCCACGCTATCCGTGAATTTCTGCAACATCAGGGGACTTCACTCGAACCTAAACGCCGTCCACTACCATCTTGAGACGGCGAAGCCGGCCTTGCTCTTTCTGACCGAGACGCAGGTGTCCTCTCCGGCTGATACTTCGTATCTCTCCTACCCGGGGTACAAATTGGAGCACTCCTTTGTGCCTCGGGCTGGAGTTTGCGTGTATGTCAGACAGGACATCTGTTCTCGACGCCTCGGCAGTCTTGAAGGTTCGGACCTGTCCATCCTTTGGCTACGCGTAGACAGCGACGACCATCCGCGCGTCTACGTGTGCCTCTATAGGTCCCATAGCGGTAATGCCGAAACAGACCGACTCATCGACCACGTCCAAATGGCTACAGATTCCTTGCTACAACAGGTCCCATCCGCAGAGATCGTGATCCTTGGCGATTTTAACGCCCACCACGCCGAATGGCTCGGTTCACGTT